TCTCTTCAGTTCAAATATTCTCCTCAACACTCTGTATATATTCCTCCCTTAATGTCAGAGACAAAGTTTCGCACCCATACAGAAGCACGTCCAAATTATAGTTTTGTACGAGTATCTAATAACCAACTTAAAAAGGAACATACCAGTAACCGGTGATTTGTATACGTAATCACGAAGACAAACGTTATTTAATGTCCTGAATTGTTCACTAGTTTCGTAGGTGTAAACAGTTTTATCCGAGCTTTGTTTCGTTTGTTTTCAAGCTCTTGCGATTTATGCTCATCCCCAGTAATAGCAGACCACATTAATTACCTAACTACTAAAATTTTTGTAGCATAAAATATATATCGATCATTCATTATTCAGGAGTCAGCAAAATGATAAACTTTTAAAAGACTGAATAACAGCAATATGAGACTTGAGATGTTGATGGCGGCGACCATACCTTCTGTAGTTATCCTGAAAACAATGGCAGTATATTCTTTCGAAACGTTAGTATCCACCCACTAGACGACCGTGAGATGGAAGCAGTAGGCTCTGGTATTGTTGCTTCCCTGCTCTGTCAGGTCTCATGTCACAATATTAAAGGTCTAACTTATGCCATGAATTCGTTAAACCCTATACTTGACGTTTCGGTTGATGTTTCCTTTGGTCATGTGCTTTACGACTCTGTCAATACGTAGACTATAGACATAGTAGGATGACTGATACACAATAAATCAGAATGAATTTGAAAGGAAGCAACTGATACGTGCCCAAGATACTATCCGGGCATTTTGCTGGACAGGCTGAAGAAACCCACGGAAAACCTCAATCAAAATAGTCGGTTTCCCGCCCGAGATTCGAATCGGATGTTTCGCGGATACAAGTCTAGAGCGTTACAGTTGTACCAATCATCTCGGAAGCTGCTTGACATTTGCGAAGTACAAACGCGGCTTCAGTTTGATACAGAATAATGACCAGACCTTTTCCTCCAAGGCGAAACCAACAAGCTTTTTCGCCCACACAAGACATCGGATACGAAAAAAAGAGGGCAAGAAATGGCGATGGTAAAGAAAAGGGAAAAAATATTAACGCTGCAAAAGTATCCCTGTTATGAAACCGTGGAAACGGCCAGAAGCCATGACTACACCTAATTCAAACCCAGTCTTCTGTACAAAGACACAGAGACGGCTTGGAGTGTGAACATTTCCCTCCTACGGCCTCACATGGAGTACTGACAGATATATTTGTACTTATCACTCAAAAAAACTTTTGTGATTTTAGTCCCCAAGCGAACTATACCGACCGAGCGACCGCCGCTTGTCGGCGTAGTTATATAAAAACCGTGTGGAATGAGTCAAACGCAATTTCCGGTTAACATAGCAGCAAATTGTTGAGCGTTAACACGCTGCGTGAAGGTAAGTTACGTAGTAGGTCACGAACGGGAGAGAAGTCTTTAGTTTCAGCGTATCCAGTCTGCTCTTTGAGCACTGATAATATTTTGATGTGGATATGTGCACTGTAGTATGCCATATGAAGTAGACAGTTTAGAACTTGTTATTTGTGCGTATTATTCGTAGGAGATGCTTGCTATCATTCAATACAGAACCTTTTGTATTTCCGTCTGTTGTCTAAAAACAGAAGAATTAGAATATAAAAAACTATAATTTCGCCTTTGGTTCTGTAGGGGTGTGAAACTTGGTCTCTTGACATTAAGGGAGGAACATAGACTGAGGGTGTTTGAGAACAGGGTGTTGAGAATATTTGGACCGAAGAGGGATGAAGTGACAGGAGATCGGAGAAAACTGCATAATGAGGAGCTTCATAACTTGTACTCTTCTCCAAGTATAATTCGAATGATGAAGTCACGGAGTAAGAAACTGGCAGGGCATGTAGCATGAATGTGAGAGAAGAGGAATGCATATAGAATATTGGTGGGAAAGCCAGAAGGAAAGAGACCACTAGGAAGACAATGACGTAAGTGGGTGGACAACATTAAAATGGATCTTAGAGAGATTAGGTCTCGAATGATCTGGCTGGGGATAGATACCGGCAGATGACTCTTGTGAACAAGGTAAGGAACCTTCAGGATCCACAGAATGCTGGGAACTTCCTGAGCAGGCGCACAATTGGCGGTTTCTCAAGAAGGGCTTAGCTCCATGAGTGAGTGATTCGTAAGAGATGACGTTAAACGCCAGCCTTGATGCACCGTTCGATAGCATGTAGGGCTGGAAAGGTATACGGGTGAGAACAATGGAAGTTGATAGTACGAAAGTTTAAGTAAAAAGATTATGAGACTTCAAGTTGAAATATTAACAGATTTCACAGTAGCAAATATACACAGAATTAACACTACAATTTTAAGTTACGCCTATAGCTTACATCGGACCATCCGACAGCCTCCCACATACACAGCCACGTTCATCCGACTTTACCTCCCGGATGAGTGAACGATTTGTGGGAAGTTGAACAGATGAGGCAGTGAAAATGCAAACGAAACGGAGAGATTCGTCTGTACTGCAAGGAGCACTCACATTTGGTCCAGTTCGGTGGTGCTGTCACCTCTGTGGACACAGTTACTGAGCAAAGTTGCCTTACATGTTTCTTCTGTACCCACTCTCCATCTTCTGTTCTTACCATTCAAGCATTAATAGTGGCAACAGTGAACACGTTTACTTCTCGGTTCTTCATCCCTCACAAGCAAGCAGGGGGTCCAATGCAACGATCTTCTCTGAATGTAGTATATAAAATGAATGTGTCGGATTTCATGAACATTTTCATCCTATATATCCTGATATCGAACAATCCACAGTCTGTTTTCGAGCATCCCATGAGAGCAGGTGTCCTGTTCAAACTGCGCATTAAGTTACTTGCATGTACCTCTGCTAGCGAAGCGGACTGCGTGCCTATACGATACGTCCCCTCGCCTTCGTTATCACTGCATACATTGGCTGAATTACGGCGTTCGACGACCTTCGTTCCTTTCCGTCTTCCTGAGACGATTGTAGTATAATACAAATCGCGCACAATACCTAGCGAATATTGAGCTGTGCGCGGTGTGAAGCGAAGTAAAGACCAATGCTTCCCACACTCAATTCCCGGATAGTGCTTTGGTGTCCTACAGCACAGGACACTGACTAGTGGCGAACTCTTAACGACATAGTAACGAACCTTATGGGTTCACGAAATATGGAGAATTTATTGACCAGTTAAACGACTATGGACAGCTCTATGACTCAGCTAAATGATGCTAATTTTGTTATAAGAATGGTCTGTTTGTAAGTGTGTATCATCAAATCTTCTCTCTAACGATCTAATGGCGTCGGTATGCTATTTACAGACATAAGCTGTGTCACCAAAGCTTGAACATGTTTTCCCTTCGGATTTGAAAACATCTCCTTGTTTCTTCAATACGTATGAATTCAATGGATAACATATCAAAATGGGCCGCGCCATAGCTCAAGCGGTTAGTCGCTGGCTTCCCAACGCGGAGGCCCGGGTTCGATCCCGGGGTCTGGTCAAGTGGGATTTGTGGTAGACAAAGTGGAGCTGGGGAAGGTTTTCTCCGAGTAATTCGGTTTCCCCTGCCAATCTTCATTCCACCAATTGCTCCACAATCACCCTCACCTATCATCTGGGGCTGGTACAATAGGCCAGAAGTGGCCGCAGTACAAAGGACTTAGTACCACCCCACTAGCAATAAAAAAAAACAAATCAGGATAGGTTGTGTTTTACAAAGTCAATGTAAACATGCACTCAAGTTCTGCCTTACATGGCCTGTGTTAAATGGACTAAAGTACACGGCCACCATGTTGTAAAACAATTATAAATAGGTTCCAGCGTATCTATGTGGCTGTTCTCTAACCTATCACCAACGGGATCTCCAGACCTCGGCTCGGAGTACATTTTAAAAACTGTAAGGTAAAGTTGAATTCGCCTCTGTGGTCTACTGGTCGGAGTTCCTGGCTACAGATACAGAGGTCCCGGGTTCGATTCCTGGTGCTACCAGATTTTCTAAGTAGTGGATCTGGAAAGGGGTCCACTCGGCCTCGTGAGGATAACTGAAGAGCTATTTCTAGGAAATAATGGTTCCGGTATAGAAAACCTAAATTAACGACCGTGGAGATTCGTTGCGCTGACCACGCTACACCCACTATCCCCTGAAGTTGGCATTAACTTCGTCGACAAGCGACAGTCACTCGGTCGGTATGGTTCGCTTGCGGACTAAAGCGACGGAGTTTTTTATTTGTAAGGCAAAGTTGTTCCTGTGCTTAACTATTTAAGCACTACACCACGAAGGCGTTTGGGGGAGTGCATGTATAAATTCACATTTTCTTTACCTCGGCACTAGCTGGAGGTGAGTGGTCAGCTTCACGCCCCGGCCGCTTTACCCCCTGGGAAAGGGTCCCTGGTACCCAATGGATAGGAGGTTGGGTGGAACCCAGAACTGGTCTGGACGATGTGGAGAAGAGAAAATTCTTTACTCGCCCGGGACTCGAACTCCAACCCCTCGGTTGTCGAACCTTTAGCAAGTAGCTATACCGACTGCGCTATTCCGAACTGTAGCTATTTAAAAAGATAATTCTCAAGACACTTCAGGGCCAAATTAATGGCCCCTGAGACGCTGATATGTGCCGCCTGACCTGTGGTTTGAGAACCACCCCTTTAACACCCCATTTACATTTAGTTTTAATATTATCGTTTCATGTTTCTATCCGTAACACAACCCCAGACATTTCTACTTTTACTACTAACATTTTCATGTACTTACAGAATCAAAGCTACCAACAGTGTTACTGTAAACTACATCATAACATCATCGCAGACCTATCAACCTGAAAGCGTAGTTTCATATTCAGTCTAGTTTCAAGGTCAAAGGAATTGTTTCAAATGAAACTAGTCACCATTTACCTTAAATCCAAAATACTTAATTACTAGAACTTTCAACTTATACATTATCAATACTACAAGTTATCTTCAATTTGTTATTACGCACTAAGACGTTTTCAAACACTTACATCCAAGTGATCCAATGGGGCAGCAAACAGCCACTTTTTGTATGCAGTTACGATGATGTTATTTATATTGTATAACACTGCTTATAACACACTTATGACACACAACACAAAATATAATCCCGCACTTCGACACATACACACAACACAGATTAATACGGTTTTTAAAATAATTTAACTTCACTCCCGTCCCGGTCTTCCATGCAAAGAAGCTATGCGAACAAGTGGCATCCTGCAATCGGATGTGTTCGGGAATTTCCGTCGCGACACGGAATATGGCGGGAAAACTGCTTCTAGAATACCCGCCACATTTTGAATGTACACTTTAATGTACTTTTCTTTATCTTGACGAGTACCAGAACAAGATCGTGAATTAATGACTGACAATAACACACACACACACAAAAAAGAAATCCGAAATACGACAGCGCCTGAATTTACTCACATACTTCTAGCCGCTTCCTAAACTTGATTATTTAACGATGCTGCCAGTATCGCGACTATATAGGGGCCGCGTCATAGCTCAAGCTGTTAGTCGCTGGCTCTCCACCGCGGCGGCCCGGGTTCGATCAAGTGGGATTTGTGGTGGACAAAGTGGGGCTGGGGTAGGCTTTCTCAGAGTACTTCGGTTTCCCCTGCCAATATTCATTCCGGCAATTGCTCCACAATCACCCTCACCTATCATCTGGGGCTGGTACAATAGGCAAGAAGTGGCCGCAGTACAAGGGACTTAGTCCCACCCCACTAGCAATTAAAGAAGAAATCGCGACTATATAGGGTCTACGATAGAATGATTAATGAATATGGAGCACTTATGACCTAACTTTGTGTCGGACCTGCGCCGCCACGGTCGGATGCTATAACTACTTCCACAACACAGCAAAACTTGTATCAATTCTGAATTTTGAAATATTAAACTCTGTTCTACATAATTATGAGTATTCAAATATTAGGGTGGCCGAATCAAAGACACGACAGGGGGGGGGGCAACTGTATGACCACTGGCAGAGTGGGGAGACGCCGGGCATTCCCTTTTCCCAAGGTCTTTTGGAAAAAAAAATGAAACTGAAAAAGGAAACACCTCTATGTAATATTGTTTTTTTTTTCCGTGGTCTGTAGTCCGCAAGCAGCGAAACGAATCCCGCGGCCGTTAATCTCGGTTTTCTAGACCGGAGCCGCTATTTCCTTGAAATAGCTCTTCAATTATTCTCACAAGGCTCAGTGGACCCCGTTCCAGATCCACTACTTCTCAGAAAATCTGTTAGCGCCAGGAATCGAACCCGGAACCTCTGGATCAGTAGCCAGGAACTCTGACCACTAGACCACAGAGGCAGTTCTATGTAATATTAACGTCAAAAAAATTGCAAGCATTCTTTAAAGAATCATACTTCTATTGTCTAGATAATGTGGGACCCTCAACGTCTCACAACCCTATGGGCCTTCATGGCCCGTTACAGGGATAGCTTTACTTTTTTTTTACTTTATCCTGAACAGTCTAGGGCGATTAGTAAAAGTGGTTTTAACTGGGTTAAACATACCTTGTAAGTGAATTTCCTGGTAGCACCCTCGACACCCTTGTGAAAAATTCTGGAGGTGGCCATGGAAATATATGTATATAATGATTCAATGAGGGAAGTTGAAGAGACCACTTGGAAGACCTAGGTATAGATGGGTAAAGGTAAGGTAAAGTTCTCCCTGTAACAGGACGTGGAGGCCCATAGGGTTGAGAGATGTTGAGGCTCCTACATTTTGTAGATAACTGGCTCACAGATAGCAGTAAGGTTGTCATCCTAATGTGCCAGCTGCCCTTTACCTCCAGGAAGATTCCTGGTACTCATTTCTGTCAGAGGCTGAGTAAACCCCAGGGCCATAATGCAGCTGGGATAATTAGATCAACTGAAAAATTCAGTGTTCTCATCAGGAATTAAACCTGGAGCCTTCCTGCTTATAGCACAGTGTCTCAACCAACTACACTACCGCGTGCCCCCAGCTACAGATAGGATATTCCATAATATTAAAATGTATCCTAAACAAATATGATGATATGGGCTGCATTAATCTGTTTAATGATAGCGATTAGTTGCAAGATCTTGGGAACAAAGCAATGAATCTCCTCGTTCTGGCAGGTAATTTGATTAGCTGAGTGACTATTCACTTTTCATGGACTCTGCTGCAAGAATATTTATGGATGAAATACAAAACTTTGTATAAAAATTCTAAACTAAAATTGAAAAAAAGTAAGATGGTAACATATTTCACTTATTCTTTGGAGGTGTTCTGCTCAAATCATGACCATGGAATCTTCAAGACATTAAAACTGTGAAGAGTTCTATCTTTTGGAATATACTTGTAATTCCATGCAGTCCAGTGAAAGTCAACCAACATTTTGGAGGAACAGTAGTGAAGAATATACTAAAACATAAATCAGCATCAAGCAGGCAGGATAGCTTGTTTACATTGGACTATATAGTGGTATCTCCCAGAAGACAGCAGTCTTCATAACCACCACTGTGAAAATCTCAAATCATACATAATTGAATTTGTTAATGTTATGGTAATTACCATTTCCTTGAAAAATATCATATTATGCTTCACTGGTATGTATTTATCCACCACAATCAGATCAGTTCTGGGTCTCATCTACCTTATCCATGGCTTCCAGGGACTTTCTTCCTTGGAGTACTTCAGCTTAAGCACAAGGTTAACAAATCACCTGCATCTGGTGCCAAAGTGAAGAATGTGCGTCTCTCTACACTTCCACATCCAACACACCTTCATAACATTGTGCTTAATTGGGCATAAGAGCAACCTTCCTTTTACTCATGCTGTACTTTAATCTGAATAGAGACAGATGGACACACACTAGGGTTATTAACAGAGCTCTGAAGAATAAAACTCAGCTCCTTTGAAGCATTATAAATAACTATTAAACTTTGGAGTTTTCAGACAAAATGCACAATGGTCGTTACATAAAATATGAAGTATACTTCACTGACTAAAATGAAAATTAAATTTGCCTGACAACTTACAATCTAAATCCACAATGCCAAAAGTCATCAAAATGAGTTAGGTACATCTGGATTCACGGGCAGGTAGATGAACATAGTCTTTCTATATTTATCACTGTTCAAATACGCTAACTTCCTGTAGCCGAGTACTTCTTTGGAAGCTAACTGCTGCTCAGTTAGTCAAGAAATTCCCTGCTGTTTATAAAAGCTGAAGGCTCCTTAGTGTGTTGAAATTAGATTGTCATTAGGCCCTAACCTGAGCCAGATAAATCTGGTCCATATCAGTACAAAGAACACACAATCATGTAAAGGTGCAGGCATAAGGTATGACCATAAAAGACACTTATGTTAACATAAATTATGACTGCACATATATAGTGTGTTTCAAGTAAATTTAATACTATTTTTGACTATGTAATTTAATACTATTTTTAATGTTAACCATTTTTATGATATGATTACTTTTGGAACATTTAAAATGTAACATATAACTTCCCTTTTCCCTTACCAAGATATGCAGATAAACTTCCCATAAACCCACCTCTCCAACCATTGCAGAAATATGTAAAACAACGCTATAGTAACATCTTAACATTTAGCAGGAACAAACTATCAAGTAGAACATAACTACCTTATCTACCTGACTACAAGGTGTTACATCCCAGATGACAGCACTCTTCAAAATTCAACGTTTTCATTACATTTCTGAAATGCTATACCAGTTCATTCCCATCGACGCTTCAAATGAAGTTCTTTTACCACTTCAAACACTATATATACAAGCAGAAAACACTGTTCTCTTAATAAGTTCTTTATTCTGTCATCAGTATGAATATAATCAGACACATCTTTTCTGGTTCCTCTTGTCACTCACAAACATTACAGCTGAGCAAAGTTGAAGCAAATACTGTAGCAAAGCTTCTGCCTAGATATTTAACTGCACAGTTCCTTTTGCCTATCACCATCGCAACCTCCATACACCAATAAAGGGTACACAAGCAGCTGGTAAATTAGGCCCTTCTTTATGATGATAAGCTGACACATAGGCTTTCACACCAGGCGGTCACTACATAAGCACTACAACAGTGTAAGCTGTATCTCATCAATTCATTTCTAAATTAGAAATCATACATCCCCATCTTTTAAAACTGTCAATGAAAACAACCGGATGTACACTCACTAAAATGATGGAAAACTTCTGTAAAGTGGACTGAAGGCATCCACAGACAGAAATGAGTGGTTACATATCTAGGTAGTGCTATCTACAGGAAGTCGACTGCGTTGCTTGGGACAATGGAGTAACTCAAGAGACATTCCAGGTTTTTGTTCCCTTTTGACTCTTACAATAAGATCTATGATTTCTGCCAGCATTTATCATATTTAGGGTCTTGTTAAAAATATCAGCATTAAATATCAAATACTGAACAAAATACTAGTTTTTAAGACCCACCAGATTTCTGAAACCATAGACTCAATTAAACAATTTACTAATAACAGGTTGACCTTGTTTGCTTCAAACTTCACACAAGCACCGCAACATATTGTCGGCCAGAGGGCAGTACTCTAATGTTCAATGTATTCATTTAGTAACATCATACAAAGCCTGTACACAATGCTGTACACACCCCGTAGTTGCCTCTAGCTGGCTTCGTAACTGTATGTCCCATATTCATTGTCTGGGGACATCATTACAATAAGTACACAGATACTGAATGGCAAGGTAATGAAGGTTGCATGAATGTTTATTTAACCTCTATATGTACACAATTCACTATCTACATCTCACACAACACAGATCCTCCCCAACCAAACCAGGGCATTAAGCACAAAGGTTTTTAATCCTGTTGCAGCAAAACACAGATGGCAAAAAGCCATAATTTCAACTAATTAAATGAAAATTTTAATGAAATTTATATACTTGTTTGCAACTACTTTTTGTACTGCTGAATATTAGAACAAAAATAAAAAATGCGATGTAATGAGAATAATGAACCATATTCCTAGAACCTTAAAAGTACCATTTAGAAGCTCAATATCCGGTAAGTGTAGACAGATAACAGTACCAGAAGCCCAAATACATCTGTCAGAGAACTTCCAAAATTTACAAATTAATTAAAACAATGTCACATATAGCTGTCGAGTTCTTATGATGCTTTTGAAATTTGTATCCATAAATCTGGGTGATTATGTCATGAGTACCTACAGAAGCAATAGGAATCAACCGTACCATTACCCATTTCCTCACCATGTATTCATTTACAGTTACTGATCTGACATTCACCTCACAATCACTGCAAATTTCAGAGACATAATTTTCAGGGGGGAAAAAAACACATACTCAAAGGACATTAGCCAGTAACAGGCAGTGAGAGAAAGGATTAGGAAATTGTATGTCATAAGGCAGTGATATAAACAGCTTAAGATGGGGGTGGGGCAGTCTGCGAGTCTCTACTTTACAAACATGGTCAGTTCTTACTATTATGTTCTGCAATTTATTTGTACAGGCTTTTATTTTTATAAATTTCATCAAACATAAAGGAGGCCGGAAGCTGCTGCATGAGCCATAAGTGTATTTGCTGCTTGTTGCGTCTCTAAGAGAATACGTGTCTCATTTATCCAATCCTGTGCCACGCTTCGTGCTGCACCCTTCAGAAGATTCATGTACCGTAATGTCATGCTGAAGTCTCCCCTGTCCATCCAGTACCTGAAATTTAAAAAAAAAAATGCAACATCAGGCTATGTGTAAATACATTTCCTCAGTCATCAGAAATTAAATTTAGTGTCTCAGTAAGGTTTTTCAAGACAATTCATCCAAACGAAAGAATTAATACAGATAGTAAATAATACATCTGATAGTGCACTTTCAAACCAGGAAGATTTTATTATATATACAATTTTGATCTACCTCTGGAGTAAAAGGACAATTAGTACACATGGCATACCATGACTAATGCAAAACACATAATTCCCTCGGAAGGAGCACACAAATATGGGCATGTGATGGGCATGGGAGAAGAAATACACCACAAACCATGACCCACAATAACAAAAATTAGCAAATTGCAGTTACTGCTAGTATAAACAAGTACTCCTAACACTGGAGGTGGTCTCCATATGCTCTTGGGGATCATGTTCTCATCACATATATTACACACAAAGAAAATGCAGAGGACATCCTACATTTTTAAAGTAAATAAAGCTATCCCTGTACCAGGCTGTGAAGGCCCATAGGGTTGTGAGATGTTGAGGGTCCCACATTATCTAGACAATTGGCTCAAAGATGGCAGTAAGGTTGTCAGCCTTACGCGCCGGCCGCGCTTTACTCCCCAAGAAAGTTATTTAATGAATTCCTGGTACTCATTTCTGTTAGAGGCTGAGTCAACCCCAGGGCCACAGTGCTGCTACTGGAGAAATCTCCCTTCTCTTCACAAAACAAGTATCACTCTATAAGCTGAGAATTGAAGCATACAAGCCCCAGTATGACTACCTACAACTGTAATAAGTTGGGCACTGTAACCACGCCAGGAATTCATAGTAACAATTCAGCCCCTGAACAACTACATGACATATGGAATACTGCAACATATTCCCAATACCTAGATCTCTGCAGGATGTCATATGTGTCAAGCTGAGCGAGTTCCACGGGTTCGTCTGCCAATTCCGCCGCCGGGATGGGATTCACTGCTTTAATAAGTAAGAAACTTTGTAAAAATGAAAGGAAGTAGAGTGGTAGACTTCCTCCTTGCTCTGGAATCAAGGCTAATCGTCGAGCAATTCGCTCCACTTTCAGGAAACGTTCCCTCATAGCTTCTTCTGTATACACACCACGGCCTGCTGCTTCAGATGGAATGCCTGCTAGCACAACTTTCACCAGCTCATCATCTGTATCTATTAAAAAACAAAAGAATTATGTATTTATATTAAATCTATTTTCTGCAAAGTACAGCAACTAACTGACTACACCTCATGTGTATTCAGGGGATTTCAGGTGCAATACACAGATTATGATACCTATGAAACCAGATTTTAACATCTGTCACATCTTTCCAAGACATCTGGTAATACAGTATGTGCCAAAAATTGCAGTACTGAAAATCGCGCATCTTGAATGCGCATGTGCGTTTGTCGATGGGGCATACCTGCAGCCGTATGTGTTCCCAGTAGTGAAAAGGAAGTTGTGTTGTGCAGTTGTTGGAAATGGGTCTCTTGACGGAGGAATATGTATTCATAGTTGAGTATTATTTCCGCTCATACAGAAGTGGTCGCCAGACAACTCGTTTCCTTGGTTTTGAGCTGTCAGATGTTATTGTCCAGAAACCACTACATAGTACACGTGTGACGATATGGTGTGCCGTCTCAGCACATGGTATATTAGGCCCCTATTTCATTGAGGATGAGGAAGGCAATGCTCTTACCGTCACCCAAGAACGCTACAGGGAGATGGTGATCGGACCATTTCTTCAGGATTTGAAAAGGTTCTGTCATGCAAGGGGCCTTCACATGAATAGACAGTGGTATCAACAGGACGACTTTTCATTTTAGTATTGTATATTTTGGCACATACTGTATTTAGGTATCCAACTCACTAATAACAAGTTATACAGTCAATGAATATGAACTCGAACCATATTAAAAAAAAAAGATAAAATGTTGCAGTTCCTACATAAATATGTCCATTGTCACAATTTCATATTTACATCTTGAATGGAATATACATGGCTTAGTTTAACATTCCAAAGCAGAATTCCATGGAATATACATATATGTCAAGGTCAGTGAACAATATATAACACAGAGCCAAGTATATACAGCAGATACACTTTGCAGAACTTTATTTTATGTCATCTTACCACATTGGCACTACAACGAAGCTTTCTGAAGCAAGTGGTAGTTCATGATGTGTACTTCCATTCCATTTCAAGTCATTTATGTTAAAATGCATCATCATTTCTAAAACCTAAAACTAATAATTTCTCAAATAATCATGTTTCTCCTAATATGTAATAAAGCATGCAGGTCTGGCAGCAATTATCTGTCCCAATAAACTCACTTGCAGCCTTGCTAACATTTTCGATTTCCGATTTTAGAGGTCGCAACTGCTGCTGCCAAGGAACACCAGGTGTACTTGCCCTCACACATCGATGCAATGACTGGCATGCACTCCACAGCAAATGGGCCTGACGTGCTTGCTGATCACTTTCTGCCCGCACTGTAAACATGAATTACATGCAAATTAGAAGAAGCTAGGCATGTAATGTCTTCAAACTTCTATATATACCACCTATATCACCTCTCTTCTATATTATCGAAGGTCATTTCAGAGAAGGAACAAACAAATGTATAATTCTGTGGATATCCAAAACCTCTCTGAATCCATATAAAAAGCTCAAAAACTATACCCAACTACACATCTTTCACAAACAAATGGTGCATGGAAAAAAAATTTGGAAGAGCTAGTTATTCCACAATAAGTATGATTCTTATGTAGGCACTCAAAAGTTGACCACTACAGAGAACTTCAAGCACCTCCTTAGTCACTCCAAGCAGGCAACACAGTGAATCAGGTGTCTTCTCTCACTTATCCAAAATAACCATTCACAACAAACCTACTCAACGTTACGTAACCTCTGTTGTTGCCAAATTGTAAGATGACAGAACAAAGAATGAGAAACATTGCCATATTTTCATGGTTGATCTTGTAAGAATGAATTAGCAAAGCTCCACTGAATATACTAATGTGGGAACATTGAAGCAGAATTTCAATGTATTTTGATTATTTATAAAATAGATTATTCTCATTAAAACACTTATATTACATTTGAGAGCATCTTCCATGCCCCTTAGACGACCCAGCATGGCAGAAATCTGCATCTTATATGCAGACTGTTCTTGCTCTAATCTTTCGTTCAGGACTCTGCTGAAATATCGCTCGAGTTCCTTCTCTTTGATATCGAGTACATCAACTAGATGGTCACTGTGAGCCTGCGCCTGAATCTTCAGCTGCTGACGCATTTCAGCCTCTATATCAAGTTGGAGCTCCAGTGCCTGTAAAACATGGACAAGGAACATATTATATTGAACATACATGTATCATGAAACATGTGTGGAAAAGTAATCTTTAGATAGTTGTACAGACTTGAAGTAACTCTGGTTGGCTTACTTCCCAGCCAAGCCACTTTCCATGGCACACTAACTGTTTGCAGTATATTACATCCAAGGTACCTGCATGAACCAAGTGACAGAGGACACAACTATAAGTTCAAAGTGCATTCTGAGTGAAATACTTGTCTTGAGATGGCATGTTACTATTCACCCTTGGCCAGAAAAGCAGCCCGGATAAAGCACTAATAACGACCAACTTCCAATGCAGGAGTGAAAGCACAGAGTGATTCAAAAGTCATGCAATCCAGATGACATTATTACTTTACTAGTGCAATACAAATTAGAGAACATATTAGTCTCATGTGGAACAGGAAAATTGGGATGGCTCATGAAACTCTTCTTGAATATGTCCTTACACCAAGATGAAAATAATGCTTAATTAAGAACAAACACTAAACCTGGAAAAAACAGTACAATGCAATTGATGTGAACTAAGCATTACCAGTGCCAGGCCAATTTCAGCACAGTGATCACAGGTGATCAGTGATGCCAACTGCTGTATACATAATCATATTTCATCACCTGCTGCAAATTATTAAACACTTCATGCCAGGTTATGTGACTTTTGAATCACTCTGTATTACTGTAAATCTCATGTACATATTATCATGCGTCATGCGTCAACAGCTATGGTAACACAAAACATGAACAAGCATTGACTCAATTAATTAGGAATTTTTTTTATTGCCAGTGGGGTGGGACTAAGTCCCTTGTACTGCGGCCACTTCTGGCCTATTATACCAGCCCCAGATGATAGGTGAGGGTGATTGTGGAGCAATGGGTGGAATAAAGATTGGCAGGGGAAACCAAAGTACTCAGAGAAAACCTGCCTCAGCGCCACTCTGTCCACCACAAATCCCACTTGACCAGAGCCGGGATCGAACCCGGGCTGCTGCAGCTGGGAAACCAGCGAGTAACCGCTTGAGCTTTGGCGTGGCCCAATTAATTAGGAAAGTAAAACATCAAATGTCAGGTGTTCCAACACTTTTCTGGAAAGAACATGAATCTGCACAGAAACTCTGCGAAATTAACTTGTTTGACTGACAAGGTTTCTTTTTCGTTTTGTTCCATTCTCCTACGATTCTTACCTCTAATTTAAATTCAGTCCAGTCAATTAACTAACTCCACGATGCAGGGTTTTACTTACAAGCTGAAAGTTACACTTATGCTCATGAAATTCCCTCTTATTATGAAACCTTAAGTTCATAACCATTTTCGCAAAGGCACACCAATGAACACGATCCTGGGCTGGTTGGTTCCATCGCATTAACACCGACACTATTTCTCCAAGACACAGTATTATTATTGCCCCATGTATGTTTCCGTATCCCACATGCTCTCTTCCCTTAAGCTTCCTACAATTACAATTTTTTTGGTATTTCAATCTATAGCCTCTCATAAAATGTTACGGCCCACAGCTTATTCCTACTTCTGTAACTAACTTTCCACTAATAGACCCTATCCTTGGCCAGTTAAATACAGCTCACATCCTTGCTCCATCCATTATTATAACCAAATTAAACTGCTGATATAGCACAATTATGTCTGCTGAGGTCTGTGAAATGCATTAAGAAATGCAGTTTTTAGAATGGCTCAAAACTTTTATAAGCAGGGTTATCATGTAACTTTGAGCACTTGTTAAATGAAAACATTACTTATGCCTGTAAAGGAGAAAGAACAAATCCAAAATTTCATAACAGTCAGTTTACCTTCTTCTGATATTCCAATTCCAACTGCCTACGTTCTTTGTCAAGTTGGGCTTGAACTTTAGCTGTAATCAAATCAGCATCATCTTTTGAAAACGCTTTCTCCACAGCCCTTTTTATACGATCCTCTCCCATTGTCTGAAACAAGCAGATCAAAAAATAATGATAAAAAAGTTTCACAAATACTGAGTATACTCAACCTTTAACTTTGCAAAGACCAAAGGTATTAAAAACTCCCATCTGTCTGACAATACCATCTTTGGCAAATAGCTTAAGATATGGCGTCGATTAGCTTAGCCTTCCTGGCAACACCTATGAAACAAGATTCTAAAAGTCCTGATAACAGATAACAGACAGAACTACAGACAGAGGAGGGAACCTCCAAGCTTCAAATACTGGTATCTGTTTCTTCCCAGAAACACAAAACTCTGGCTTTGCCAAAGGATAGAACTGAGGCTGGAAAGCAAAATGTCCATATTGGACCTGGCTGGGTAAAGACCCAACATAACATCCCTATGCTCACTAGGCCAGCATGTCATCCACAGACCTCTATACATCCTGTATACAGAGTATAAGCATAGCAGAACTTCACAAAATATAGTTAAATCCCCATTTAAGCTTCTTTTGGAGTGGTGATTCTGAACATTGAACTAAGGAGACTCTTAAGTAGAGGAAATTTAACACTGAGGGCACTGACTTGAGATTACTGACATTTAATGTTAAATGTAGGAAAACTAAACCGAGAAAGAATAAAAGGAGGTTCCACTACACATTTTTTTTTTCCTTGGCATTACAGCCCCAGTGGGCCTAGGCCTATCTCCATGAACTTCTCCGTTCACTTCGGTAGGACTCCTTGGGCGGGTGACCAGCTCGTCGCAAGGCCTCTACCTGTACACAGACACAGAAAAACACACACACACAAACTAAACATCCATGCCCTGAGTGGGATTCGAACCCGGTTTCCAAGTGAGTGAAGACAGTGCAAGCCTTAGACCGCTCGACTACCGTGACTGGCTTCCACTAAACATTACATTCATAAAATACATATTTGAAGAGTATGATCTCATGAGTTGTGATGCCACACAGTTCAGTCAACCTACATTTCAGAGGAACATGGTCTGAACATTCAGCGTCAAAGAGTAAACCAAACAATAAATCGGCAATACAATGGCAAACAAATATTGCTGATTTCTTGTTTGGCTCACTCTTTTACCCTGAATATTGTGTCAATACATTCTACTGACACTATGATGGACTTCTACCAAACCATGTATCATTACACTGCAGAGTAACACACATATTTTGAAAGTGAAGTTTTCACTGCAATCACTATGAAAACTTCACTTTCAAAATATGTGTGTTACTTCAAAAGTCATGGCAACTAATATACTTATGAAAGGGCATGATACACCCCTCCGATTGGCTTAGTCAGATCAGGCAGATGTAAAGGGGTGTAGGTATCGCAGGCAAGAAAAATTGCACATCACGGAATGACTGTTTTTTTTTATTCTTTAATCCTCGAAAAATTCAATTGTGATTAAGAAATAAAAAATTCAATGTGAGTTAAATCTGAATTCTTACGTTACAACTAGCAACCTTCAAAGTAGTCTCCAAGTGTATCAAGTACAAACGGACACAGGGCATCCACTACTCTGCAAGTCGGCACTTGCTTCTCTTCACATTGGAATGCTTCTGTCCACCTTGCAACAGTTCTGTATGGTAGAGCACCATCACCCAGACCATCCACAACCTCTGAGTGACATTCAGTCGCATTTCTGCCGTGAAGCACTGCTATTTTCATGTAACAACGCTGTTCCAGCTGGCTAACGTTCATTCTTGTCGAAGGTTATGATCACACTGATTCGCGCTGGACTCGCTTCGTTGTCCTTGGACTTCCGCATCATTAGAAATCAGACGTTGCTGTCTCTCAGTGGCAAATTTGGAAATTCCGGTCTGAGCTTTCGAAATTTTGGAAAAATTATGTTGCCATGACTTTTGAAGTAACCCACATATATAATTTGTGAATAAATTTCCTTATAGTTCCCAATCTGCAATAATAGCAGTTACAAAAACACACAGTTTGTGCTTCATTGATGTTTGGTCCATTCCATAAATACTGGTCGATGAATATAATATGGTGCTCAGTGCCCAACTTGTATGGCACAAAAAAAAAACCTTTCTTTACTTCCTTGGTATTCAGGAAACCATAACTACTAAACTCAATTCTCATAAGATGATAAAAGGTGCCTTCTTAATGACACCATGACATTCTAATAGCATTTACATCAAAAGCTATCACTGTTCCTAAGTAATATATCACGCTCTTAGCATGGAAAAAAAATTAAATGTGAATTTAAACTAAAATATCAGGTCGCAAGTGACATAATTACATATTAAAATTATGCTAATTATGAAGAGTATTATCTTCTGGGATATAATCTTGTACAGTCAGCAGAAACTCACTGAAATTTTGGATAAATACAGTCCCTCCATTCTCAAATCCAAATATTCGGCATGCCAGCTGCAGGAAAAGCAAAGGACATTTTACAAACTAAATATAGGCCGGTGAATTTCTATCAGACTACAATACACATTGTCACATTCCAGAAGATAGTTAACTTTCCTAGTCACCAATGCAAGCGCCTCAGATTCAATATATTATTTATATCTATTAACTTATAACACCTCATACCTCTAGTTTCTTCAGTTCTTTCTGATAATATAATACATGTGAAACAACATGTGCAATGAATAGGTCAATATCCCCCTGATCAAGTCTCATATCTTTATCGCTCAGCCTAATACCAGGAAACAATACTTTCAATTCATCCTGCAACAGAAAACCCACATAAAATCAATAAACTTCAAACATAAAGCAACTAATCATGAACAGCTGTTATCTACTACTTTTCAAACTAGATGTGTTGTTTTCAGTCTAAATATTCTCCACTGAGGAAATTTAAATTATTTATTTTCTGACAATCTGCTCTATGATGACAAGTATTGTAAATATTAATGGAGGTGTATATTTAATTAATCTGTTTCTGTAACATTTAGGTGATGGCAAAAAGGACTATGGATCGTTTGAGTTACTCACAGAAGAAAGACATACACATACAATGAACATAAAAGGCTGCCAATAAACTTCACCTGCCCTGAGGATTTGAAAAAAGGAACCCTTGTGCCCTAATACAGGGACTGATTCACACACATAGTTGAGGGCAAACTGTTACACCTTAATTCTGATTCCTTGACATGTTCCAGATAATCTTGGAAATATGTCTGCCAGTTCATACACTGTATATTTTGAAGCAGTGTTACAAGTTCACAGAATGAAAATATTAACACATTTCCTACGGTGTGGTTCATTTGAAGTATAGACCCCACAAATTAGCAGTTTTTGTGTAAATTTTTCTTTCTGAATAAAAATCTTAGGTGAGAATATTTTCAAAACTTCCCTGCCATCTAGTAGCAAAACGACAGACATACTTAATTTCCACAATATCACAGTATGTAAGACAAGGAAAATCTCCAGTATGACATTCTTTCATAAATCCAGGGAGAAGGCTGAAGGCCTGCCCACAGTCAATCCTGAACTGTGAAGAAGGAAAGATGATGTTGGTAACTTTCAAGCAGAAATGTGTTAACCCTTTACATCAATTCTGTGTTGCATATATTAAATAAAGAACTCACTTCAAAAAACTTCCGTGCTGCTTCTACTTTTTCCCAATACTTCTCTGTAACATTTGCTTTCCTTTTTGCTTCTTCAAATTCATTCTTTGCATCAGCAACTGCAGTCAGTACTCTCTCAATATTCCTATTTGACTTCTCTAACAGTTCACTAGAAACATTGTCTAGTCCATCTTTTATACTGTTCTTCAACTTCTCGATGTTCTGTCTGTAATCAGGGATGTCTATAAGCATGATATATTGGAATGGTTACAAGGCATGAACTGGGCATGAATTACACAAAGCATTTTTCATGTCCTGTTCTATTTTAGAGGCCTCCAGCATTCTATATGAAATGTATGACTTCAGTTGGCAAAATATATGTTACAATTAAAATAAGAGTATGTCTTATAGCAAAGTAACAGCTACAAAAGCAAACCGATGAAGATAGAAGAAATATATATCTAGACCATATTTAATTTCTCATATCCCATTATGGATAGTTGGGGCAAAATTCAGACTCCATATTCATAACAACTTTCCTTACCAGACATCTTCAAAGAACTTAAATTCTTAAACCTTTTTGCTAATATGTTAACAAGTGCTGTGGTGACCCTTCCTAATGTTAAATTATTTTCAGCAATTTTTTAAATCTTTGCTACCTGGGGAAAAACTTAAATGTTTCTTCTTTCTTTCTTTCTTTCTTTATTTATTTTTCTGCTAAAACTGACATCCAATCCTTAAGAAACTCCAATACATCTTCACACAAAGGAAATTGCCGGTTCATGAAAGCAATGGCAGACACAAATGCATATTTCTGTAACAAAATATAACTAAAATACAACATAACACACTTCAAAGTATTTACTAAAAATGGGAGAAATTCAGTTTAATTTATTTCAGAAAATTACAAGGTAAATACAAAGTTTAAAAGTAAGTCAACTGAACTGTATCAAGAGAGGATCAATCAAGCAAACTAAATATTTTGATCAACGAATAAAGGGATAAATTCACTAAACTACATGCACTGCAACAAGCGTAGAAATGACAAAGAAAGCTCCTGGAATGACATTCTACTGGCAGAGGAAAATCTCATAAAATATTGGATGCTGGGTAAGAAGATTAAATAGTGGTCAACTTAACAACCAAGCCGCCAACAAAAGATACTTTTAAATTACATGCAAAGAAACTAATTAACAAATTCATATGATTGTTAAAATAAAAACAATTCATTTTATCATTATTCTATTACAATACTTTCGAACTAAGTGTTTAGCTGTTACTTTCAGGCTTAAAGCAAAATTGTTTTTGACATCACCATGATATCAAATGCCCTTTGAATGGACATGCTGCATCCCCAGACACTGAGGTTCTGATATACATTTTATTTACTTACACTGCTTCTTTTGCATTAGCTTCAGCTTTCACTACTGCTGCATCCTTCCTTTCTATCAGCTTCTTCAACTTATCCAAAACATCCGCATCGAGAGTTTCTACCGAATTCTCAATTACATGATAGATGTTTTTACTGTAGTCTGCAATAAGGAATACAACCCTGTTATGTTTTAATTAGAAATGCTATTTGTTGCCAATATCTGAAAAGAAAGTGCTAATAAAATGTTTGGATATAAGAGAAATATGTAGGAAATGAAAAAAGAAAACTTTCATTAATAATTACGATTAAACTGAAATGACAGTGTGCTGGACATGCAGATCGTATGGGAAAGATTAACATATACAGAATTTCAGTGTAGAAATCTTACACACAGCTTAAACTACAGGAAAATAGTGAAACAGGGGGCATAGTATTAAAAAATAATCTTAGGGAAAATACTCTGTGATGTGGGCTGAATCAATTTATCAAGGAATACAGTTCAGTATGATGCCTTTGTACTAACGAACCTTCTGGCTTCTAAGGCCCAAGAACCAGCATAGTACTGTATTTTGTATATGGGTTTTTATATTAAAACTTAATAAACTACCTTATTCTGAACTGTTTTGTAGAAAACTGACAGTGACATCAGGAACGACTAGAGGGATCAAACTGCAAATTTTAAATTACAAAACAAACAACATTCTTAATGACTTTCCAATCCCCACACAAGAAACTCAAGCCTATTCAGTTATTCAGTATAGAGAGGGTGGGTTTCCCCATGCACCGTGACTGATAGTCTATTGTATGTCCCCTTGTAATTTCTACTGTCGTCATACCCTACCGATCCTGGTGCCTGCTATCTCCCCTTTCTGTCAGCGGGGTCGGCCCTCTACTGGCAGTGGTACCCGATAACTCTCCCCTTTCTGCCAGCGAGGTCGGCCCTCTGCTGGCATTGGTACCCGATAACTTCCCCATCTACCGGAGGCATTGGAAACTACTTGGGCAGGAAACATTTTGCCTAATTTTGCTCAGAGGTCTCCTAGAGACATGAGGATCTTTTACGTGCTGTAAATCTACGACACGGGGCCCACGGCTTAAAGTCCCTCGCGGAGGACTTGTTCCCTGAATTTTTCCACCCTTAAAAATTCCATGACCTCCGCTGGGTTTGAACCCGTGTAACTTGAGTCATGAAGTGGGAACGTTACCCCTAGACTACGGAGGCCACTAACTCATGCCTATAATTATAACTATATCCAGTTACATGGATAGTACATAAAAATTATGACTCAGACGGATACATGCCACTAACCTCTGACTGCATTCGCTGCATCACCATAGGCTGAAACTGCAGCTATCGATAAAGTTGAAATTCTACTCTCTAAATCTGCCAAGTTCTTCGGATGTAGTTCTGGATGTGTCTTCGGAACTTTTTCAGCTGGCTTACTGATTTCAGCTGCTGAAATTACAAAATAACAAGTTTCTACTACATATAGACAAAAGAAGCACTCTGTACATTAAACTTATCATCCAGAAATAGGTTATTTTACATACCCTAATACCACAAAACTAAGAGCCAGATTTTAAATCTCAGGTACCGGTATTAGTATTGAAAAACAGCCACATGTATGAGATATTGTAATAGTACAAAGCATGGCCAATAAATGTTAACAATTAAAAGAGACTGCTTGTTACATTACGACCGTGGTCTTTTGGAACGTGATACTGTGTAGTTTGAAAGGCATGTGATTAGATTATGTAATTATACAGCATGGCCTTCAGAAGCTATTTGGCTTCAAATGTGAAATGGAAGATGGTTTATGAACTGTGAAATAGCAGGATGTAGAAGAAATAGTAATGACCTATTTTAATGTACTTTCACAGAACCTGCTAGAGGAAGTGGGAAGGTTGTTATAACCACATCAGGAAGTACTTTCTAAATGCAGTGCAAGTATTCACCTCAACAGAGACTTTCTACAGACTCTGCTAACAAAAACCTCAAATCCAACATTTCAAATACATTTTCTTTTTCTTATTTCATAATCATTTGGCTCTAAAACTACACCACTCACTCATCCGATATAAAAATGAAAGCAGAAAGGAGAAAACTAATCACTTTTCATCACTCATGACAAGAGACTGAAATTATTAATAAAAGACAAGTGGTACATCACAGAATTAAAAAACTTTGCCAGTATTTCTTTACCCTTGTACACATGTTAAACTGCATATGCATAATGCTACCAAGAATATAATGGGATACATGCCAAAAGAGTAAACATGTAAATGTATTAACAAATACAAAAATATATTCACAAAAAAATTAAGAAAATATCTCACAAAATTAATCACATATACTTTGTAACTGTAAATGCCTAAATAGATTCTAAAGGGTTCCAACGATGGTGCATTACGCACAGAATTACTGGGGTTTTGGACTTTTTCCATTGTCCGGAATTCTAGGTAATAGAGGACAGGACATTTCGGGAAATGGATCTGTTCCCATCTTCAGGTGACTGAGATTAGCTCTTTCTAAGGGGCCCAACTCAGTAGGTGTCTTCCTTTCTCACCTGAAGACAGAAACAGATCTAGTTTCTGAAATGCAGTGTCCTCTATTACCTAGAATTTCGGACGATGGAAGAAGTCCAAAACCCCAGTAATTGTGTAAATGCCTAACAAATACTTTTATTATTTCTAGGTCACCTTCAAACTAATTCCAATATTTTCCCTTCCATAGAGATCTAGTTCAGCCGGAAATATACTCACATGTGTACATTCAAACACAGCAACAAAGTCAAAAGTCAAAAGGTACAATTACTGTTTCTGGATAAAAGAAAAAAAATTACAGAAACAATGAAAGCAAAAGAGTGGAATATTTACGTTTATAATCCTTCTTTGGTGGTTCTGTAATCTCTACCTTTGCTTTCTTCTCTACAGTTTTTTCTTCCTTTTTTTCAAACAAGCTATCATAGATCCTGCAACAACCATTCACATTGCAAAATATTTACTGTAATTTTCTTCAACAAAAGTATACAGCTAGCTTATGACCTATGTGGAAATAACGAGGAAAATATAAAGAAAACAAAAATGTAATAGAATGCTTGAAGCACAAGAAACTAGTCATGTTCAGTACACGTCTTCACAAAAACAAAAGAAAAATTTGGGTACCGTAGTGATCAAATTCCAGCAAAACATCCCTCTTTCAATAAGTAGTAATAAGGACTCTAAAATCATTCTTCACCAAAATAACCCCAGTTAAATATGTATTTAGTGAAAGGAAAAAAAAATGACAGTGCTTTTAGCAGAAGCTCTGTTGGCACTCTTGGATGGGAATTAAGGATATTTTTCAGGTGTAAGAGAAAGAATATATTCTCTTCTCAAGTTTATAAATAAAAATTGGTATATGTAATTCAGCAAGCAAACCATAACAATCAGAAAATTTGTATCTAAGATAGTTCAAAGAAGTACACAGAATAGAAAATATAAGACACCCAAAAAAGGGAACATGGCAGGCAACACATGAATATCTATAGGAGATTCAGAGAAGCCTGGGCATAGGGTACTTAGAACATATTCAGAAAAAAGAAAAGCAAAAGAACAAATAGGAATGTGGTCAAAATCAATTGAAATAGGTGGATGTGCCTTGTAATACCTGTAAACCATGATGTAGAAGAAGATTTAACCAATTAAATATGAAATAAAGCACAACAGACCACTGTAGGTCGCAGTGCAAGGGCTGAGAAGGCCTACACCTCATACATACAGATATGAAATGTATGATCCTCATCCAGAGCTCCATGATATGGAGCATAAATTCACTGTATACTGATTGTTATTTTAAATGGCATTAAGAGACAAAATGATTAAACAAGGAAGTATTTGGGCCTTCACAACAGTTTGTGGCTTATCTCGTTTTCATTCTCTGATGACAGACCACTGGTCTGCACGTCAGGGAACCTAGCTGTTCCCATCTACAGGGCAAAATGAACGGCAGCATGGCACCAATATTCATAGTTCTATGCCACAAGACAATGAGGAATTCCAGGCTCTTATTAGAGGAGCAACTGAAACAAAGCAAGAAAGAGAACACCCAGGAAATGCTAACTGCCAGTCGCTACTAGAGTCACACATAAGGCCTTCAGTGAGGCTTTACACGTTGTTTTATGCATCTGTCTACCTTCTTCTGGAAGAAAGAACTGGCCCTGAAAATTGCTAAATTCTGATTCCTTACTGGTCATACATCCACCAATCAGAGCAGAGAATTCATAACTGGTTTGTGGCCCTGGGCTTTAGAGAGTTAATATTTCATCCGTAAAGTTTCATAAAAGCCAAATATAATTAAACGTGACAAGATTTTCAGTGGAATGAAAATTACATTATTCTATAAGGCATTCAGCCTAAATCAAAAGCACATACAAAAGTGGGACAAAGTAGTACTTCAGCAAGATACAACACTTACGTGGATTTTAAACTTTCATACACAGACTGAAGCCGTTCAAGGGGTGCTGTCTCTTCTTGTAACACAACTCTAAGGAAGTCTTCTGAGTAAGGCACATTATCACCTAGCAACCTTCGGAAGTCTTTGTCGTAAGCAGCATAGGCGACTGTAGAAACAGTAGCTACAGTCAATGTGCCAACAGCATATTTAAAAGCTGTTCCACTTAAAAGAAAATCGAATGTAACACATTAAATTAATTTTCAGCTAACAGAAATACATATATCACATGTAGGCAGAAAACATACTATAGTAAAGGTAAAACTATCCCTGTAACAAGCCATGAAGGCTAATAGGGTTGTGAGAGGTGGAGGCTCCCACATTTTCTAGACAATCGGCTCTCAGATGGCGATAAGGTTGTCAGTTTTACGTGCCAGCCGCCCTTCACCCCCAGGAATATTCCTGGTACCCATTTCTGTTAAAGACTGTGTTGACCCCCGGGCCATAGTGCAACTGGAAGGATTACGTAAATTGAAAAAATCCACCTCATCGGGATTTGATCCCGTGACCTTCCTACTTGTAGCATAGCGCCTCACCCAACCACACTACCGCATGCCCCCAAAAACATACTATAGTACACAAAGTACATAATACAAGGAAAAGCAGAAGAGTAAACACAATCTTCCTTCATTTGCACTTAGTTGATTTTCATCGTCATTTGAATAATAATACTGTACTGTAATTAACAGTCTCCTTCACTGATATAAGAAGGTTCTCTAGTCTGATTTTCAAGGTAAGAGGGTATTATAACTAGTGAAATTAATAAAAGAATGACAGTTCAACATGGAGATACCTGTACGAGACATAAGAAAGTTTAAGGATGCATGGAAGGAATCAAACAGGATGGAAAAGTGTTCTTGACAGTGCTCGTTCTGCGTGGTCATCAACTGTAATATGTAATGAACAAACAGACTGATCGGTATGTCTAAGCCAATTGCAAAATAGTAACTGCTTAAACTCCATTTGAAAAGGGCATTGTCGTAAAAAGAAGCTGTATATGCCTGTACAGATATATGGAAAATAAAGGAAATGAATGAATGAATTGAAAACACAACAGATTAAGGAAATAGTGTGGACCATTGGACCAAATTCAGTGAAAAGCTGGATGATCAGGCAATAGAAAAGATATGTGTAACCCTGTCCCTAAATGATTAAGCACCATGCCATGGGGATGTACAGGAAAATGGAGGTATGCATTATATATGCTTAAACTGAGCACTAGATGAAGGTGAGTGGTCATCTTTGCATGCCTAATGCTTTATTCCTAAGGAAACAGCCCCCTATTCCCATTGTATGGGAGACTGGGTGGGCCCCAAAGTTTGTCTGCATGCTTTGAAGGAGAGAAAGTCTCCTGCCCTTGCCAGAAANCTCCCGAAGTTTGGCACATTCCTCCTGGGACACCCTGTATATGCTTCATCTGAGCACTAGATGAAGGTGAGTGGTCATCTTTGCATGCCTCATGCTTTATTCCTAAGGAAACAGCTCCCTATTCCCATTGTATGTGAGACTGGGTGGGCCCCAAAGTTGGTCTGCATGCTTTGAAGGAGAGAAAGTCTCCTGCCCTTGCCAGAACTCAAATTCTGATTCCCTGGCCATGTAGCCCATGGCCTAGTTGGTGTACTGACTGAATTATACTGACTCTCATATGACCAAACACTGTCTGATTATTTTGCTAGACCTTATATTCAAATTTCCTTTATATTTCTAGCCAATTTTGTATAACCAAACATTTGATACGTCATTTGAATTCATTTCTGCAGTACATCACAGCAATGCTGTAATTACTGTAAATACCAGTAAAGTCCAATATTTCATAATGATCAAAGAATCTGGGTCAATGCACCAACAGTGATATTAACTTACGTCAAATTTAAGACATTTCCAAGTTATGTAGATGTTAAGAATTTGAAAGAAACTTGGGGCAAAAAGTATGTGCATGCATAGTTATGAGTAGTAATTGAGTACCACCCACAAAGGGATATGGGGAAATGGAGGTAGAGTTCCATCATTCTTGGCCTTGGCGTTAGATGCAATTCAATAGTCAGCTTCACATCCTGGCTACTTTACACCCCTGAAAGAACCCCTGGTTTCCATTGGGTAGGAGGCTGTTTGGGCCCCAGAGCTAGTACGAGTGCTGTAGAGAAGAGAAAAATCTCTTTTCCTTGATGAGAATCGAACCCTAACTGTCCAGCCCACAGCCCATCATGATAGCAACTATGGTATCCTGGCCTCTTAATCAAATGTTATGCTATAATGCTTTTCAACAATTTAAAATATATAAAGATGCATACTTACATCTTATTCTTAGGTGGCTCAGAATATTTATTTCCATAATACCGTGGGACAAGGTACAATCTCGAAGGGTTGTGTCGTGATATCTATAAATACAAACACACCATCACTTTATTGGTGAATTGGAGGGCTCTTGTGAACATGGTAATGAACCTTTGGGTTCCATAAAATGTTGGGAAGTTCTTCAGTAGTTGCACAATTGGTTGCTTCTCGAGAAGGGCTCAGTTCCATGAAATTAGTCAGTTTATTGGTGAATATTCATAACTACACATATTGATCAAAATACAGTATGTTCTTTATACATGAGTTGGAGCTTGTGCCCTTGTACAATAAGAAAAAGAGACATCATAATAAAAACAAATGTTGTACAACTCTATTCCAATATTCATAGTGGCATTAGTTTCACTATGGAAACCCAAACCCAGCACTTCAAATGTGTTCTGCTCCATAAACCAGCATTCAGTGTTCACATCAGGCACTAATTCACACCAATGGCTGTGAACTCTTACTCTTCAGCAATCATTCAAGCAAGCACCGCACAGAATCTCGCCCTCTACTTAAGCAGGAACTCAGCAATTACTGAATGGTTCCTTATCATCTTACAACCACAACACACAAACTACCAGCCCCTAATTATCATCCTTCAAAGGTAGATAAAGTCAACAACTTGCTGTTGTCTTTCCTTGCAATGTGCTTAAATATCAGACAAACACCAACCAATGCACAGCCAAAGATATTTTCACTAATGTGAACAGGTTAAGAAAATACTGCAATGTAGATCACATTAAACATATCTGCTTCACTCATAAATTTCCTTTAAATAATGATATCCCTCTGTAAAAGTTTATCCTTCACACGATATGTTAATATCTTTCCTCCCAACTATTGCTCAGAATTACATATAATAAAACAGCATTCAATGCTGACTGTACTGGCTACCAGGTTACCTTGTGCCCATGCTCTTAAAATCTCATGGTACAGAAATTATTTTTGATTTTGATATTTATATCTGCAAGGTTATTCAAGAACTGACTGACCTGAGTACTTGAAAGAGATATGAATAAATGGATAAATTCGTGAGGTCATGCCTGTATTAAGATCTTCATGTTATGTACACATTCCAAATCTATGCTCCTTAATTCAGATCAATGGTAAAAGCTGAACAAACACAAATTAATTACAGGTACGTTAAGTGGTTAAAGCTAGGGGCAGGTATGACCAAATCGTATTTTGATGGTAGCAATCGACATGTCCAAGTTTCTAATGTGGAGGACAACACACACACTGGAAAATACTATTTATATCATATTCAGTGTTGATATTATATGACAATCTTTCAGAAATATTATACACACCCGTGGTAATCCGTGATACGGAAATTTTACCCCAAATCGGAACATTTCCAGGCGCCTGACCGGCAGCCAACCAACAAGGAACACCCAGTTGTAAACAAATGCGTTACGTGCAATATGGCGTTCAGCAAGTTGTAATAAGGGAAGATAATGTTACGACTAATTGTTGGAGGTTAGGATGGAATTTGTTGTTCAATACTGCAAAAAGTTTATTTTGATTAATTTGAATTTTCCTTTAGGTTGCGAATCTGTATAATTATTTTATATATTGGTATGGAAGTAAAGGTAAAATTGTGATGCAGAAAGCTAAAAGCAAATAGGTTAAGAACGATCAAAACTTGGAGCCAATACTTGTGTCCAGAATTATTGTAGATTATAGAGCATTTTTATAATCAACTTTGTTCATAGCAGTGAATAGACAATATTTCCGCTGTTCCTAATAAAGCACCACGCCGTGAAGACGTATGAGTGAGTGGAGGTATAACGCCACCAGTCTTAACTTTAGCACTGAAAGGAAATGAGGGGTCAGCTTCACGCCCTTACAGCAGTATGCGGGTTGTAACAGTCCCCTATACCCGTTATATAGGATGCAGGCTAAACTCCAGAACTGGTCTAGATGCTGTGGAAAAGAGAAGAATATCATGTCCCTGCAGGAAATCGAAGCGCAGTACCTCAGTTGTCCAGCCCGTAGCTCAGGCGCTATACCGACTGAATTATTCCAGCTCCCAAACGTACAGCAGTACGGATTTATTTTATGAAAGCTCTTACGTTAGAATCTTCAAATGAAAGACACATTTTGAGATGTTATATAAATTAAAATAATTTGACATCGCTATAGCTATCCACTGCCCCACCAACATACCTTGCTTCCTAACAGGGAGCAGTGGTTTATAAAAACACATTTTAATTTACACTATGCTCATCCTACAATGATATTTTAATATCATACACAAACTGAAAAACAGTTGTAACTTTTAACCTTACAAAGGAATGGACAACAGCAGAAATTGTCTGTGTACAGTAATATATCCATACCATGGTGTGAAGGAGTGTAAGAAACTTGGAGTGAAACTTTTGGAATTCTGAGGACTATGGCAATGCTTTCAATAAACTGTAAATTTTCAGAATGAATAATACTTTGCTCTGATCTGCATTAATTAACAATATTCTCATGAAATTTACTAAATTTCCAGCTGCCAGAGTTTTTGGCGTAGCAGGAAACAGAGGCAGTGCCAGGCTATTTAGAAATGTGGTTCCTACACAACAGAAAACATATGGTACACTGAGTCCACAGCTCCAGTCATTACAGCCATGCTTTACGAGCTGCAACACCTCACTTGCTCTCATAGCAAAGTCACAGTTGTTGAGGTATGTTATTATTTTTAAAGCAAACATATTGAAATATAAGACATGTACAGCAAAGTTCATCTTACCAGAAATTATGATTGATATTTGGAGGAACATAGACTGAGGGTATTTGAGAACAGGGTGTTGAGGAAAATTTTGGACCAGAGAAGGATGAAGTGACAGGAGGTTGCAGAAAACTGCATAATGAGGAGCTTCATAACTTGTACTCTTCTCCAAGTATAATTAGAATGATCTAGTCAAGGAGGATGAGGTGGGCAGGGTATGTAGCGCAAATGGGGAGACAAATGCATATAGGATAGTGGTTGGAAAACCAAGGCGTAGTTGGGTGGACAATATTAAAATGGAGCTTAGTGAGATGGGATGTGATGGTATGGATTGGATTGAGCTGGCACAGAATAGGGACCAGTGGAGGGATCTTTTGAGCACGATAATGAACCTTCGTGTTCCATAAAATGTTGGCAAATTCTTGAGTAGCTGCAGATTTGGCGGCTTCTCCAGAAGGCCTCAGCTCCATAAGTAAGTAATCCATATTTAATTTTCAGTGATACTGTACAGCAAAGGACCCTAAACTTACAACAACCTCAGATTAGGACAGTCACAAAGTTTTCTCTCAAGAAGGGCAAGAGGAAGACGGTGAAAGCAGTAATAAGACGCTTCTTCCGATTGTCCTGGTATGTTACAACGTAAACATGTAATATCAGTTTATGTACGTTAGGTTCTAGACAGGTAAATAATTTGTAATAATTTGCATAAAAGATGCCTTAGTTAGTAAAAGGAATTCAGTGGTCTGCCAACACATGATGCGATAACCAAAATGTGAATATTTTGTCACTTCATTTACCAGACAGTAGAATACTTTAATTTTTACTCATGTCTTCACTGTATATGTATGTTTATTTTTCATACTCTTTCAACTAACAGGCAAAACTAATGTTTTATATATATCTTAATCTTGAATGCTTTAGAAAGTATGCACAGAAACCCTTGCTAATCTGGTTATTGTTAATCTGGATTGAAACATGAAAATTCTGTTCACAGTCGAGTACTTGCTTTAAAAGATACATGGCATTTAGGAGCAAAAGGGCTTTCAGACTGTGTTGAGGGAAGCTGGAGACACTGAAACCATGCAAGAAAATATCCAAGATTGGCTTGAGCTGGATGAAGGAAATTCTAGATTTCAACTTCTGATAACGGAAAGAATTCCTGCAGTGATTTTTTTTTCTTCATCAGCACTACCTATATTATTAAATTCCGACATATTTGTTTTCTCAGTTTTTCTTTCTTTAGGGCTATCTTTCACTTCATTAATCCAGATTAGTGAGGGTTTATTGTATGATAAGTTTTTTAATTGAATAAGAAACAGGTACAGAATTTATTCTTCTAATACCAACATGGATTTCACTTTTACTTTCATGTCATGTTCAAACATTTTATCTACATTTACTTGTAGATTTAATTTATTTGCTGAGCTGCAGGAAGATTTTTGTTAACAAATGATACTGATTTCTATAGGGGCGGTTGGATCCGCACACGTGCTGGGCGTTTCAGACATTTATGGAGAAAGTCGGAGTACCAGAAATATCGTTACAGACAGCATATCTTCTGCAATGCAACACAGTGTACGCTGCTTGATAAGATGGTTACTAAATACTGGAAAAGACGGAGATATTATGTAGATGATCCATATGAACCATACCATACAAGAGAAGAATTTCCATACACAAGAAAGAAGCCTCTTCCACCCCCACCACGTTAAACCACACTTAACCTTGTGATAGCTGTTTCAGTACTGCTTGTAATAAGCTATTAAACTAATGTGGAATAAAAAATAGTATAACTACGTCACATGTGCAATTACTAATTTCTCCCCCTACAGGGATAGCTTTACTTTTTACTTTTACTTAAGAGAATCATATTTCAGTAAATGTAAAAGAACTTGTTGATCCTTTCTGGGCTGTAGTGTATGAATTACTTCAAGAAGATACTGTTCATTTTGTATACAGTCACAAAATAAATATTTTAACATGTCTTGCAGTGACTTTTTAAAACAAATAAACCTAAGGCCAGAGAATTGTAAAAGGGTAAAACAAATTATGATCAGTTTTGGCTATTAAAGGGGAACACTATGCTAGAAGCTGGAAGGTAACAGGTTCGAGTCCTGATGAGGTGGATTTTTTCAATTTATCTAATCCTTCCAGCTGCATTATGGCCCTAGGGTCACCTCAGCCTCTAACAGAAATGAGTACCAGGAATTTTCCTGGAGGTAAAGGGCAGTAAGGCTGACAACCTCACCGCCATCTGTGAGCCGACTGGAGAAAATATGGGAGCCTCAATGTCTCACAACCTTATGGGCCTTCATGGCCTGTTACAGGGATAGCATTAGCTTTTTGGCTATCAAAGATTACAGGATAATTCTCATATATATATATAGCTTAGACAACTTACCATGTTAAGTACAATCATGGGGAACTGAACCAACCATCATTACAAACTTCAGAAAAGTGGAATAAAAAGAAGAAAGTATACACTAAGTTAGAAATATACAAGTATTTTGCTAAAATTTAATGGGAAGTAGGTCTCTCATCTCATATAACCTGTGTCCTATTCTTGAAAATAGAAATGCCTAATATAACATAATAAACAATTTAATTTCTTTCCATTAGAAATGTGTATCGTCAGTAAGGGAGTTCCTCATGTGTGTTAATATTATTATTTATTTAAGTGAAACCAATAAAATTCACATGAATGATGTTTTATAATTGATAAGGCAAGACTAGTAATAAACAGCTTGCATCTGCCACCAAACCTTTGTTATGCTTAAATGGATTCTGTTTTTTGTGGGATACTAACACAGAATACAATGTAATATAAAACAGGTTCATCAAATTCATCAGCATGTAATTCATCCAGCTTAAGCACCCATTGCATAACTGAAAGAGTATTATCCAAAAAAAGTATCATATACAGTGGAACCCCCATCTAAGTTCCTCAATTTAAGATTTTCCCTCATTTAATGCTCAATTTCAATGGTATCAGTGTTAAATTTCTTCCATTTATAATTGTTCTCAGTTGTGTTCAAATTCTTGCTCCCCAAAGTAACCTATTTAATGTTCTGTTTCTTTGGGGAACAGTGGTTTTGAACACTATACTGATTGAAAATTTTAAATAAGGCTTTCACTGTATGTCCATAATTTGTCCATTCTCTTCTGTATTAGTGGTTTCCATCACAAAATTCCACCAAATTCATTCAGTCATAGCTAGAGTGTTACATGCATGCATATGAATGTAATGAAGTTCACAGGTACCATCACACTTTTTTAAAGATGCCTGCATGTCTAAAATATTTTATGTATATCCACAAGCCTTCCGTTTACAGGTTGTGAATAAAATCCACTGAACTTCCAGTCTTCTATAGCCATCAACTGAAATTTATTACTGTAATGTTCTTTCTCAGTTTAAAAGATTGCCTTATTCCAACCATAAGCCTTGTCTGACATAAGTTATGCTATATCATGCTTTGTTATCTTACATAAAAATAAAACCCTGGATAAAATTATAAAAAATAAAGCCTGAGTTGCAATAATACATGGATAATATACATTCAGAGATAAGAAGTGTCTTTATCATATCATGGTAAACAAGATGCAGCTGCTGTCAATCTTTATTGTCATAAACGTGATTATGTCAGAATATCCATTAACTTGAGTCCTCAACATTTTAACTTCTTCACCAGCTTCTCATACAATGGTATTCTTGAGTTTACCAATGCCTTCAATTTCACTCTCAATTACATCTCCTGGCTGAAACAGAATATATACAAATTTACTGTAAAAATGTGCTCTTTTAATGAGAGAAAGAGAAGATTAATAAACTTAAGTTCTTCAGAGATGAAAAGAGTTTGTTTCTAGAATGGGGTAACCTACAAGAGAGTCTCTGCTACTACCACTGGTATGATGATGAGCTCATGGCTATCAGTATGAATTTACAGCTTGATGTGGTCTCTGACCCATTAGTGGGGACTCATAATCCTCACTTAACTGAACAAGTACAGAAACATGAATAATTTGCACTGCATCTGGCTATTCTCAGACCTGGCACAGAAGTCCAGAGCCTTAGCATTAGACTACCGTGTCCAACCAGAGAGACATTAATGTAGTCACTGCCAGTCTCATCACCTAAGGGGTGAAATTTACCAGATGCCTGTGTGTATCCCATCAAGTGACAGCCAGTCACCAGTGTGTATGTAAGCATAATTTTCTCCTACAGATGCCACTCAAATGCAACAGAAAAAACTTTTAATTTTTTTTTAATGCTAGTGGGGTGGGACTAAGTCCCTTGTACTGCAGCCACTTCTCGCCTATTGTACTAGCCCCAGATGATAGATGAGGGTGATTGTGGAGCAATTGGTGGAATGAAGATTGGCAGGGGAAACCGAAGTACTCTGAGAAAACCTGCCCCAGCGCCACTTTGTCTACCACAAATCCCACTTGACCAGACCGCCATGATGGGAAGCCAGCAACTAACCGCTTGAGCTATGGCATGGCCAGGACTTTTAATGTTACTTGTCAGGCTTCAAAGACTCAAAACATACAGTGACTCTTGCTTTCTGTTCACTTTCACATCCATTTCAAATGCAATAAGTTCAAAATTAAATTTTCATGGTCAGCAGGTAAAATCCCAGTACAGGGGCATGGCAGAAAATGCACTGATGTAGGTAAGAAGAGCCAAGATTGGAAGGAGGAGACAGCGAGGAAGACATGCACGTGCATCCACTCATCTGCCATGAAGTACATCCCAAATTAGAAAAATACATTAAAAGTGCCAGCTTCCATTCTTAGACACAGAGTATGTTTTAACACCTGCAGGGACAAAGAAGTTGATAATGCTGCTGGTGTTTAATTTCTCCAGCTGAGAAATTGCAGCATGTCCAAAACGCTCAGCGGTTTTCACTTCCCGTTTTCCATTTTATGTACTTTCACGTATTTATGCATGTATCTCTGTTGGGGCCACGCCATAGCTCAAGCGGTTGGTTGCTGGCTTCCTACCGTGGTGGCCCAGGTTTGATCACAGGTCTGGTTAAGTGAATTTGTGGTGGACAAAGTGGCGCTGGGGCAGGTTTTCTCCGAGTACTTCAGTTTCCCCTGCCAATCTTCATTCCACCAAATTTTCCATCATCATAATCACCCAGGGCAGGTACAATAGGCCAATCAGTGGCCGCCATGTCGAGTGGACCCAGTTGGACTCCACCCCCCCACCAAGCAAATTTAAAAAAAAAATGTATATCTGTTTGCAGTAGATTTTCTCAATTTACAAATCATTTCCTGCTCTACAACTATACATTACAATCCAAAAGAGCAAATGTGATGTAAATACAATTTCAAAATTTGGATCTTGTATCCAGTAAACGACATGGTATTTCCAATGCCAAGATCATCAGTTTAAGGTGACTGGCATACTACTGCTGTCTATTCTTGGAACCATATAAAACCAAACATTTCACTGTATTACTGCATATACTGGTAATAATTCACACGTTTATAATAAAATATATATCCTCAATACCTTGAGGAATTCCTGAGGATTCCGGAACACTCCAACACCTGCTGGTGTTCCAGTCAGTATCACATCACCTGGCAGTAGTGTGCAGCAACTTAAAACAGAAAAAAAAACTCTGTATTTCTTTCATAATTTTGTATCAAGGGTCAAAAAATGATATCAGCATATATTTCCATGCAACAACCAAAAATCCATCAGTTATTTCATCTTGCTCTGCCTCTTCTGAATGGCAGAGTTAATAGAAACATTGTAAAGTCAAAGATGCTTGATGTAGTAAAAACAGTACAAGAAAACTAAACTTTACTGGCTATGCAGTGGCCTATTGTAAAAGTGCATGCACATGGTCCAGCAGCTCAGATGTTTCATTTTTCCAATACTATTACGTCAAATAAAGATCTGGCTACTGATCTCACACTACTGGGGGATTTAAATCCATAAATAAGTGCACCAAGGTTCATAATATGGAAGATGTTGGGGGCTGAAAGGCAGGTTAACACTTCAGGATGGTCCCAGACAAACGAAAAACTTGTCTTGAGAACATTTTTGCACGAACAGTACAAAGCAATGAAGTAGATTTGAATGTAATCACAGGTCACTGGAGATAAAATAATAAAATGTGATTTTCTGAAAAATATGTCAAAGAGTAAATTCAACAGAGACAAACTAGAGTAGTAACAATTTAACAGGTACTACAAGTGTGTAGCGATTTTTTTGCCATGTAACACAAAAGTTTATAAAATACCAGGGACATTAAATTATCCAAAATTGGAAATATCCAACTTGTAAACAACTATTTTTAAAGTAAAGTGGACCCTGTTCCTAAGCACCGCAACTTAAAGGCATATATAGGATGCGGAGCTAAAGCTCTATGGATGCCAGACTATACAATAGATGCAGCAGATGAAAGTTAATGGTCAGCTTCACACTCTGGCTGGGTTAACCTCAGGGAATAGCCTCAAAAGACTGGGTAGGCCCAGAGCCAATGTGGAAGAGATGGCAGAAGATAAAATTTCATTCTCTGCTGGGTACTGAAATGTGGTCCTGCAGTCTGTAGCCAGTCATTTTATCATCCATGTTATCTGGCCCATTTAATTGTTTTAAACAAATCATGATCCACTCAGTTACCATCACCTCCAAACTTACTGTGACAAGAAAGAGACAATGTAGTCAATCTTATGGATCAGCTCATTGGTGTTGCTTTCCTGTTTCAATACCCCATTCACTTTACAGCATATGGGCAAGGCATAGGGATCTGCCACTACTTCCTTCAACACAACAGATGGACCAAGAGGACAAGAACCATCCATACTCTTCCCAAGGAGCCACTGTCCACCATTTCGGCTCTTCTTCTGCCAGTCCCGGGCTGTTATATCTTGAGCCACAGTAAACCCGAACACATGATCCATTGCATCTGTTGGGCGAACAGCATGCGCACGTTTACCAATAACAACAGCCAACTCAACTTCCCAATCAAGTTCCTGAAAAAAAGAAAATAATTTTCAGTTTTGGGCATTCTACACACATAATTGTAGTACACCAGCTTTTCAGCACAGTGTGTCTACCTGACATTATCATCTGTAAAGCTCTCAACAGCATTCTTTGCAAGATCTGAGTTAACTTCCCTAGAATTAAAGCACCTGGAGCATGAAACTGACCACTCTAACCACTTCCTCCATCTAGTGCTACGATAAATAATGTGTCCAGGTTTGCTTTGACTCACTTTGTATGCCTTCATGTCATGTTCATACTCCTTTCATCATGACAATTAGTAAATCTTACAGTGGAATAGATGCTACTGAATATTATGGACATAAATCACTATACCGAGGTTATGGAAAAAAATCCCAAGGGTGATGGTGATACTGACACTAAAGGTTTCCCACTCTCAGCCTACTACTGTACTCCCTTTCAGGCCCTTCTGGTCTATGTCAACCAGTCCAAAGCACTTGTTACTAATAACTATGATCACATGGTTTAAGCACAATAGACCACTGTAGGTCGCAGTGCAAGGGCCAAGAAGGCCCATCCCTTATACATTATACATACATCACCATGTTGATGCCAAGTCTCCAAATCAAAAATCATTCTCCTCTTCGTGTAAGGAAATAAAGTACGGTGTTCCTCAGGGTTCAGTTCTGGGACCTCTTTTGTTTTTAATGTTTATAAACGATTTGCCTAAGGCTGTTCATGAAGCGAAAGTTGTTTTATTTGCAGATGACACCAATATACTAATTATTGACAAAAATCTTAAATCTTTAAATGATAAAACTATAGTATTTATGCATTAATTAGAAAATTGGTTCGCGGTAAATCATCTTATTATTAATACTGAAAAGACAAAAGCACTCTTTTTTCAGGGACGTGGGCCCCGTCAAATTGAAAAACCGGAACTTTATTTGAATAATAAGAAAATAACACACACAGCTAATTTAAAATTTTTAGGTATATATATTACAGAGAATTTAAGTTGGTCCTCTCACATTCACCATTTAGTTCAAAAATTAAACAAAACCATCTATCTTATCAAATCCTTACGAGATTTGGTCTTCCAATTTTGAGAAGTGTGTATTTTGCGAAATTTGAATCTTTATTGAGATATGGTATTATTTTTTGGGGCTGTGGTCAAAAGGACATTCAAACTGTATTTAAAATCCAAAAAAAATGTTTAAGACTGATCAAAAGAGTCAATAACAGGATATCGTGTAGAGAATTTTTTGGTGAATTTAAAATTTTAACCTTAACTTCATTGTATATCTTTGAGACGTTGTGTTTTTTAAGGAAAAATAGGATATATAACATCTCGTATTCAGATGTGCACGGTTATAACACAGTACATAAGCAGAATTTGTATGTCCAACCATGTAACACCTAATGTTGTAAAAGGAGTGTGATTAACATGAGAATAAGATTGTATAATAACTTGCCCTCTCAAAAAAGAAGTATTCAAGAGTTCAAGGTTTTTAAGCATCAATTAAAGGATTACTTGTTGTGCAAAGCTTTTTATTCCCTTCAAGAATATTTTTACAAGAATTAGCTTAATAATAGAACAAAGATACTTAGGTAATTTATTTTAGCTACTGCATGTAATTTATAGTTTAGCTTTTGTTGCCTTATTATACTCATCCACTGTTTTATCATATTTAAAGGACTTATTATGTTATTTTTCTATGGATTTTTATATTATTAGTCATTTGATGTGATGTTTAATCTCATATATTTTTTTTAAAAACTGACTTGTCCAATTGTACATAATGTAACAGTTATGGATGTTAAATAAATCAATCAATCAATCAATCAATCACATGGTTATCATAACCGAAATTTGTGTGGCCTGAAGAGAAAAACAGTGCTGCAGGAGGAAGCAAACTCTATATATAGAGTTGTGAAGATGGTAAATTCATGGGACCCCTTTCTGTAAGTTCTGTATTTTCTTATTTCATTGCTAGTGGGGTGGGACTAAGTTCCTTGTACTATGGCCACTTCTGGCCTATGGTACCAGCCCCAGATGATAGGTGAGGGTGATCGTGGAGCAATTGATGGAATGAAGATTGACAGGGGAAACCGAAGTACTCGGAGAAAACCTGCCCCAGCGCCACCTTGTCCACCACAAATCCCATTTGACCAGACCCGGGATCGAACCCAGACCACCGAGGTGGGAAGCCAGCGACTAACCGCTTGAGCTATGGCGCGGCCTCATAAGTTCTGTAAATCTTAACTTATAATACTGACTACAGATTTAAGTATATGAAGTAAGGTATGCAAATTCTTTTCAGAACTTCCTGTTATGACATAACTTGTCAGTCCCTGAATAGCTAGCATCAATACGCATGGCAGCAGGATCTGTTGGTTAAAAGGATAAAACATTACAAGTGCAAATGTTGTTACAGTGTTAATGTTATGTGTACTTAGCAAGTTTCAGGACTGTGAGATGCCATTTATGTCATCACTTTCACTGCATGTAAGGAAGTGAATAGGAGATAAAAGTCCTACTGTACTTGTATAAAAAAGAAAGAAAAAAAAGGGAAGAAAAGAAAGAAATGAAAACTAATCTCACTACTAGTATCAAATTTCCTTCCTCTGAACTATTTTGAATAATGCAAACTACAAGAATCTAGTACATACAGCAACCAATTCATTAACACTCTGTATCATACAAAAAAAAAACATTCTGTGTTCATGTGCCATATGTTAAACAATGTTTATATAATGTAATGCGCTGTTGAAGCAGACTATATTAGATCGTTAGTAGGCAGCTGAGATTTCAACAACGTTATAAAAAACTGTTTGGACTGTGAGGTATATTTAAACTGAGAGAGAATGAGAAGGACAAGGCTGTGGTATCAAAACAAGTTAAAAATTTCTTCCTTTCTCTATGCTGTTCTGGTGATGTAAGCAGAGGAAATATGGATCCTGCAACTATAGGTAGACAGTACTTTTTTTCACTTATATCTGAGTTTTCATATCAAACTGCAGCTATAACTGATTATTTATCGGATCAGTAGTAAGATGTATGTATATTTAAACTTATCCCTATGCATAAATGCCATGACATGAAAGAGAATAAGGACCACCAAGATAAAGCTCTGCACATCCTAGGCCTTAGCACCAGTTAAATCAATGTTCAGTTTCACTTTCCAGCTGTTTTTCCCTTACAAAGGGGGCCTTGGTACTTACGAAAACAAGGCTTGGTAGTCTCCTCAACCAGTACAGATATGGTGAGTATGAGGAAAACCTCTATCCCTGCCATGAATCAAACTCTGATCATCTAGCTTGTAGCTGGTTGCTTTTCTGACTGAAATACCCCAACTTACTGAGATAATAGAGGGAGGGGGGGCACAGTTTTGAGTTTGAGGACTAGGGAAAATTTAAACATCTATGAAATCGGGAGCACAGAAAGTATATGTCTAGAATGCATCCATACATTTACTGTTATTTCTATAATTTTTCAATACACAGAATATTTTCATGAGGCAGTCAACTTCTGTGTGGGCAGTAGCTGGTCTGCAGTTTGTAGTTTGTCCATTTAAGCAAAACAGTCTTGGATGCAGCAGCATATGAAGGATTCACTTCAGGAATGGTGAGATGGTGCACTGTTTAACAAATGATTTACATGAATGTAATTTCCTTACAAAGAAATACTACAAATTATCTATGTTACTGGCATAAAACTTATTACTTCATTGCCAAATATGTCTTTCATATGATGTTTCAAAAAGCAGTTTTTATGTGAATTCAGTCAATTCTGATGATTCCTGAACACATAAGCCCTCTCTACACAAAACACAGCCCTTATACAACTTATATCCTGAATCACTGGCTTATTCAGTCTTTCTTGATAAATGCTTAATATACATTTTATTTACAATTACAGGGAAAACTGTCTGCTCCCCCATACACCTTCATGGTGTAGTACTTAGTTAAGTGTAGGGGCAACTTTACCTTTACAGGTAAAACTGGTGCAAGATATTTCAAAATCACTTAACTTGAATTACCAACCCCTCTATCAGTCTTATTAAACAGCTTGATAATTCCAAGAATATTACTGAGGAATACCAAGAGATAAATAACAAACTATAATGTTCTTAAGACATAAAGTACTAAGAACTTTAACCTTAAAATGATGGATAAAATGAATATAACCTCATGACCCTCTACTCTATTATTTCCCAAACACTATTCTGAAAAATTTCTTACAAAAAAGAGCCCTTTATTCAGTTACTTTATGATGCTGTAACACATTACGTAACATCAAATGAGACATGACAGGTTCATTATAATGATCTGTGAGGGAGGAACTTGGAGCAAAAAATCAGTTATAGCCTATTTTAAGATGGTGTTCTGGAATTTTCTGGAGATGCTGAGGCGTACTATGAATAACTTTCATCAGGATATATGGTTCTGGGCCAGAATTTAAAATGCATACCTCGCAAAAGCAAGTTTAGACAACTGACGCAAATGTGCAGCTAAAAGACGTCAACCAATATCGTCTGCAGTTTTATATTGGACAGTGAGGGTACTTTCTGAAAATACCTCAGACAGACCTCAACATTGCTTGACAAAATGCCAAACTTTTTCTCATTCAGCACATCATTAGTCCCACAGACCTGTTCCAGTCACCCCAGTCTACCTATTCATTTCAACTTCATTATTATTTTTACAGTATGTTTTTCTTCCTCTTCAATGCCTATTTTCTTACTCCACAGTTTTCAGTATATTTTAATTCTTGTGCCTTCAATTCTATCTTGTTATTTTTCCCTATTTTGACCAATAATTTTTGGAAATGAGATGATGAAATTCAACTTATTATGTGAGTCACAAACCTGAGGCATGCCTATTAAAATCATTCCATCCATCCACATTCATGATGCAACCTGAGAACTGGTGAATGGATTTTCATGATATTTAATATGGGGAAGTTTTATTAATATATGTCAAAATATTGCAATTATTGTTGAAATCATATAACAATAACAGATGC